TGGAGACATTGACTGCTTAGAGTCGAACTTGTCCTCTGCAGTAGCAGCATGTGTTCTGTTCACATTTTTCAAAGGTTTTCTCATCCTCCTCTTCCTTCCTTTTAAAAATGTATATGCATTCCTTTTGTTTGTTTGTTTTTGAGACAGGATTTCTCTGTATAGACCAGGCTGGCCTCGAACTCAGGGATTCACTTATCTTTGCCTCCTAAGTGCCAGAATCAGTGGTATGTGCCACCATACCTAGTTAATGTATACATATTTTACCACACCATAATTCAGTTCCTTCCCTGCTGCCAAACTCCCCCACCCCACCCCTAGTTTTACACAATGAGAAACAACCCTGCACTGAACTTCACTTCCAGGGCCCCTTCTGGAGTGTGGGTGACTTACTCTGAACAGATTCCTAGGGAAGCCTACAGGGATGGGGTCAAAGAGAACGAGAAGGTGCAGTCTTGCTGTGTGTGAGGTTATTTGTTGGCAGCGAACTCCAGGGGACACTCTACGAGCTTCTGGCTAGCTCCTGGCTGTGCTGCTCTATGGATGAATGGTGTTGGTGTGATTGAACAGGCATGCTGGTAGGGAAGGGTAGGTGTGCTACGATCCTCATAAATAACATGGTCGCATCCACTCACAGAGTCCCTCCACTCCTTCCGACCACACCCCTGCCTTTTGACATGTTGGTCTGCTGGTTGGACATTTTGTTTTTCTCACCCTCTGCTAATGACCACTTAGCTCCTCAGACCTGGGCAAACACTCCTAGCGTAGAGATTTGCAGGCTGGCTCAGCAGCCTGGGCTCCATTATGGTATTTTATACGCCCTTCAGCCAAGCTCTATCCTCTTCAGCAGGGGCATTGCCATGGCAACCTCTCTTCTCAGGGCAGTAACTATGGGTGGCAAGTCCCACACGCTTAATATGTTTGAAATTTTACTTTCAAAATATTGAAGTTCTAATTGGCTGCTGAACAAAATAAATAACATTTTTTTGTTGTTGTTGTCAACAAGGGCCAAAGGCGGCAGCTTTGATAACAGGAAAGGCCAGGACTGGTCAGAAGCCCGAAACCAGAGTGAGCCAGTCACTTCTAGCTGCACTCGAGACAAGAAAGGAATGGAGAAGCACTCAGTGCAAAGGGACACTGACTCAGACCCAGATACTGTTAGAGCAACCTCAAAGTCAAGGGCTTCCAGGGATGAAGTGGGCCTGTTCCAACGCCAGCCTAGGGCTGTCTGCCTTCCCTGGAGGATGCGGTATTTCTTCTGCACACAGTGCACTTTCAGAGTGGGAGGGGGTAGTCCTGGGCTTTCCCTGCCCTTCGGAAGGCATCACACTGTAGTTCTCTGTAGACCGGAAGCCCTTAGATGCGCACACACACTGCAGAGCTTTATAGAGGCTAGTTATGTTGGCTTGGGAGAGACGAACTGGCCTGGTGTCCTCCTCCACCGCACTGTGTAGCTATGTGCCATTACAACAGACCTGTCCTTTTTCAGCAGTTTTTGAAAGCAGAGCATTAAAATTGAAAATCTGCAGCAGATTGCTTTAAGACTTAAAGTTTAAGTGTTGTGCTCCGTGGTTTCATATTTCTTCCTCCCTTGTTTATTTATTTTCCCCCTCTGCTCTTTCCTCCATTCTTTTCTTTTTATGTGTATTTGTATTTTTTCCCATTTGATGGCATCTCTATGGTGGAGTTGGGAGACAGTGTGGTATGGTAGAAGGCATGCCTTCCTCGTCATTGGCTGGGCAGTCTTGGCAATGCTACCTTAGTTTTCCTGTTGATTTTCCAGAGCACAGGACTTCCATGTTGAGACTAGCACAGCCCTGGGCATGATGGGACAGTTACTTTGGTGTGAAACAAAGATGGCAACACCTCACCGGGGTAAGGTAAGGGTTAGGGCTGTTAGAGCTAGCATTAGTGTTAGGGCTAGGGCCTGGCTTAGAGCTATGGTTTAGGCTAGGGGTAGGGGTATGGTTAAGGCTCAGGCTAAGGCTAGGATTAGGATTAGGATTAGGGTTAAAGTCAGCGTTAGGAGTATGGTTAGCAGTATGGTAAGTTTAGCGATCATTAGGGTTAGGTTTAGGGCCAGACCTAGGTTTTACTATAGGTTTGAACTGTAGCTAAGTAGATCAGACTGGTCTTGAACTCTCAGAGATCTGCCTTCTTTTTCCTCCAGAGTGCTGGGATTTAAGGCATTCGCCACTACACCTGTTTAAAAGCTTCATTCTTGTTGAAAAAAGAAGAAAACCATATCTCTAACTAGAAGCAACCAATTAACATATTTCCAGGGCATTTTCCAATGTTCTCTTTAAAGATCCACATTGGAAAAAAACCCTTAAAATAGATTTAAAATTTTATTTTTTTGCTTGTATGTATGTGTGACATGGATGTGTGTATGTGTATGTGTTTGCCTGTGTGTGTGTGTGTGTGTGTATACAGGTATATGGGAGGTTAAAAACTACTTCAGATGTCTTCCCCAATTGCTTCCTATTGCATTTACTGGGGTAGTACCTCTCGCAGGACCTGGAGTTTGCTAATTCTAGCTTGTCTAAATAGCCAGCTTGTTTTGGGGGGGGGGTACCCCACTTCTGCCTTCTAGGTGCTGGGATTACAGGTAAGCCATCACATTGCTTAGCTCTTGTTGTGATTCTGGGGATCCAGACTCAGGTCTGCACAGAGCTCTGTGGAGCCAGCCCTTGGAAGACAGCTTACTAATTCTTATCGCTATATAATAACTTATTTACATATAAAAACTACTTTAAGACTTCAACTTTTAGGTTGGCTCAGGTACACCATTTTAAACAATAAATTCTCTCTATTTTTTTCTTTTTTCTTTTTTGAATTGGGTCTTGCTATCTTGTGATGATATCCAGGCTGTTGTCAAATTTACAACTTTCCCATTCCTCCCCTCCTGAGTGTTAGGATTATAGGTGTGTACCACATACCTGGCTGAAACCTTATCTTCAATTCTTGATCCCCAACATGCTCTTTTCACATTTGCTTGGAATATCATGAATAAAATACCCTGTTCCTTTTACACTCTGGATTGTGAGGTGTTGGAAATCAGCCTGACTGAAGCTGGCAGGAACAGGGTGGTTCAGAACCACTCCTGAGGCGTGCATGCATGCAAATGCTTCAGAACAGAAAAATCAAAGGAATGATGGTCCTTGAGGAAGACCCCGAAATCTTGCTGTGTGCATGCATGAGTGTGTGTGCTGTGTGGGCGATTCCAGATGACTATCGAGAGGCTTTGGGCCTCTCAGACTGGTCACAGCCTGGCAATTCTCTGAGAGGTCAGCAAAGAAAAAAAATGTAAAAACATGTTATAAATAATTGTAATTGATCCTGCAAGCACTAAATGATATACCTGAGAACTATTTCACCCCTCTCCATTCCTCCCCTCTCCTCGGTTCCCTTCTTTTATTCCTCTCTTCCCCCCTTTCCTTTCCTTTCTGCTTTGTTTTTGGTGCTGCGGACTGACTCAGGGCCTCACGCATGCTCACTGTGCTCACCTTGAACCTCATGGATACTTCCTGTGCTCACCCCAGGGCCTCAAGCCTGCTCGGTGTGCTTTCAACCACTGGGTTACACTCTTCGCCCTGAGGATCATCTTTAACTACTCTCGTAATTTCACGTACTTAAAACTGAATGTAAAGTTTTAAAATTTTAATTGTTTTATCTTAATCTTTGTCACTTTTCTTTGAGAACTGGGAGACTCTCTCAGGCCCGCTTTTCTCTACCATATGCTGTTTGGCAATTAGAGAGATCTAGAAGTTAGAACTCTGAAATTTTCCATGTAGTTCAGGTCCAGTCTAAGGAGAAAGAAATGAAACAACCACACTCATGCCCAGACCATCGACTCTGGTGAGAATTAGTGAGTCAAAAAGCAAAAAAGAATATAAAGAGATGTGAACGTAGGATGGGGACATGCCGGGTAGGGGGTCAGGGAAAGTGGGAGGAGAGAAAGAGAGGGTAGTGGATGAGTGTGACAAGAATGCGTTACATATGTATATGCAACTGTTGATTATAAAAAGGTTAATTATAAAAATAAATTTAAAAAATTATGCAAGCAACATCCTCAGGACATAGTCTTCATGGCCATAGCAAGTCTGCATCTTGACTGAGCATCCTGGGCATGGCCAAACCAGGTGCCCATGTTCCAGCAAGGAAATGGCTTGGGATGGGGAATAATTCAGAGTCCAGTGGATTTTGTCAGGATTCGTTCTCCTGTGCATGTCGGGAAAGGCTTTCTGCCTGCAGTATGATCAGCGCTCCCTACCACCCCGTTAGATGATCTTCTCAGGAAACAGAGCAACAAAGAAGGAAAGAAAACTGAGATGCAGAACAGAGTAAGAGTCTTGCTCTTGTCCCTCAATGTAGCTATGCCTGAGCCAACCTTGGCTTCAGATAGCCCAGTCATAAGTCTTAAAGTTGTGTAAGTGTGCACCAGTCCCTCACACAGGCCCTGTGCTTCATTAGTACTACGTCTTTAGTATCCATACTTTATGGATAAGGGGCCTGAGACTTGGGGAGGTGAGACACTTTGCTTAGTCTCCTAGCTGGGAAGTGGCAGGACCCAAGGTGGAGAGGGAGCAGTTCTGATTTTGCAGCTCGTTTCATTTCTCTCGCTGGATACAGATACAGTGACTACCGCTTGGCATGCTTCTGTCTTAACCCTAGGTCAAGAGGGCAGGCCCTGGCTCTCTTGTTTCACAGAGCCAACGATGTTAGGCACTTTAGTTTGGTGCACCCATGGTCAAACAGGCTAAACTGGTTACCTAGACCCCCCTGCTTCACTCCAGGTCATTCCGAGAACCTCGCTTCATTAAGGCTTCTGAAGTTTCAGAAGTCATTAGCCAGACTGGGCCCAGACCTAACTGGCCTCCAGGCATCTGGGTTTCTGCAAGCAGAAGCAATTCTGGAAAGATGCATTCAGCTTTGAAAGTATTGAAAGTTCTTATGTCCACATCTCAAAGCTTAGGAAAAAAAGAACAGAGTTATTCAAATGGAAGTTAACAGGGTTTTTAATATTTAAGTAACAAAACATGGAGGTTAATACTCAATGCATACAATAAGACAGCAATAACAAAAGGATGACAGAGCACAGTCTCAAGGGAAGCTTTTAAACAGTCATGTGTTAAGCCAGGTGGTGGTGGCAGTGATGACACACGCCTTTAATCCCAGAACTCAGGGGGCAGAGGAAGGATGATCTCTGAATTTAAGGCCAGCGTGGTCTACAGAGCAAGTTCCAGAACAGGCAAAGATACAGAGAAACCCTGCCTTGAAAAAACAAAAGTAAAAAACAAAAACAAAACAACCAGTGACATGTTTGAGAACTACTGACTGAAAACAGCTGAGTCTCACTGCCTCCAGCCTGGCCGGGGATTTTCTGGTGGGTGGGTAGTTGGGGGTGAGGGGAAGAAACTCACTGTATTTGTGGTCTCAAAGGGATGACCTTCTGTTTGGCCCCAAGAACTTTAATAACTTTCATGCCTTCAATAGCTCATTTCCACCTCCTTCTCTCCCTCCTCTCTTGAATTGTTTGATCTGTTCATTTTTTTAAAGTCAGTTTTAGGAAGGCCCTCTTCAACATAGCCTAAAACCACCGGTGTCCCGTGGGAATGACTCTGCGTTACCCTGGAAACAGCCCTGAGTATTCTCTGACCCCCTGGAGGTCACTTTTATATGCACTATTAATGTAAGGACTGCCCTTTCCTCTATGACAACGCCTTGGCCAGGACAGCACCACTGCTGTTCTGGGCTTGGGTGGGTTTTAGTGAGCATCCTTATCTCCATTTCCTGGGAGCCTATTCCAGCTGCATGCTGGGATGGAGTTCGTGTTTTCTCCTATAAGCACAGAGGAGGGTGTGGCCCACATATTAATGCCCGGTGCAACTGTCAGAACCACAAAACTGACCACAGGATCCAGGAAGTGCCACTGTTAACTGGCAGGGACTGGAGCTGCGCCGGTGAAGAGGCACAGGCTAACTAGTCCTTTTGCAAAAAGAACCAGTTTTAAGCTACTTTCTAGGATTTGGGATTTGACTTTGTAAAAACAAGGGCTGTACTTATGAGTACTTAGGTTACAGAGATCTCAAAAGAAAACAATTAGGATCAGTAAGCTTTTCATGATGTTTGGATTTATGTAGAACCTTATTGAGTACAATATGGACAATAACAAGGAATGATCCCCACCCCCAGATATTTCTATATGTAAGGGTGAGGCCAATTCACAGAGATATTATATACCATTTTGCTAATGTACTATTTATTATAACTGCACATAGAACTCAGGTTACCAAAAAATCCACTTCTTTCTCTTCTCAGAAAAATTTCTGAATTCTGACAGAAGGAGGGCCCCGGGTGGAAAGTTCTGGCACAGTCTGGTTGAAATCAGCAGAAGCCAAGAGAAGGAGACAGTCTGGTTTGCCTCACCTGAAAACCCCTGTGGCTGATAGCATGAGATCGCCACAGGAGCGGCTCTGAGTGGAGGTCGGAGAGACTGCAACTGTCTCTCCTTTATTATCTTTTTAATCACTGTTCACTATGATTATTAGTCAAGTTGGGGATGGGTAAGGCAAAATTAGTAGGAATAAAGGGAAAAATTTTTTCCCTTTAAAAATTTTACTTGGGGGTCAAGCTGGGAAATAGATCCTCAACAGGTTCATTAAATATGAGAGGGAAAGGTTGTCTAAGCCATCAAGTATCTGTCAGCGTATCAAGTACCATTCTATTTAGTCTACAGTGAAAGGCAGAGGACTGGGATAGGTGAGCGGCTATGGCCTCTAACTCATAAATGATAACTCAGCTGTTTTGTGACGGACTGTTTAGAGACAGAGATGCGTGGCCAAGACTGTCTAACCTCACCATGGATGAAATTAAGGCTTTACAAGTTTCCCATTGTCAGTCAAAAGCAATAATGAAACAAGGTAGAATGTCCTTGGTTTGGGGCGAGCTCTTCTTGGGGAAGGGTTTCTTCGGCACCCGATGTGGGGGTATCTTAGAGCCTTATACATAGTCATACTTGGTAGGATGAGATTGTTCATCTTCCTCTGTGCGGGCACCTCCATCATAGATCTTCTTGTTTCTGATGTTGGACCCAAAGCCAGTGCTGGCCTTGTAGCCTCCAGGCTTGTAGGCAACATTTTGGCCAGAGGCGTGGTAAGACACGGCTTTGAAGCTGAAAGCAAAAGAAACAAACCTTGAACACCGGCGTCTTTAGTAGGGAGACCAATTTCCCCATTTACTCCTGTCTCAGGTTCAGCACCGGATGCTTCAGTGTTCATAGAGATATGTTAGTCTTAATTTGGCTAGGATACATAGTCACCATGTTCTTAGAGACATAAGCTGTCTGCGGTGGAGCGTGATTTCCTGCTTTTAAAGGAGGCTTAGAGGTTGATGAAGAAATTTAAAGGAAGAGAAGAAGGGTGACCGAGTGAGGGTGATGGAATACATGTGACATGAAAGCAGAAGTGGGGGTTACGGGAGGGAAGGGGGATCAGCAAGAAGGGAGGGGAGATGGGGAACATGTGGGGTAATGAGACAAATAAAGACAAAATTGGACACATGGATAAAAAAGTCTCATAATGAAACCTGTTATGTTTTATGCAATCTTAATTAATTATTTGCTTGTTCTTGTCCCCCCCCTTTTGTTTTTGAGGCAGTATCTCATGTGGTTCAGGTTGGGCCTCTAAATTGCTGTGTAGCTGAGGGTGACCTTGAACTGACTCCCACTGTCTCCACCTCCTCAGGGCTGGCATTACAAGTGTCTGCCTCTTTGACTTTTTTGGTGTTTGATTCTAACCTAAAAGATCAATAAAAATTCTGTCTGTCTGTTTGTGTAATGCATGCGCATATTAGAGCTGTAATGAGATGGTTGCTACTGACCACTGAATTTTCCTTTAATTAAAATGAAGGTGACAGTTGTCCAGTGGGACTTTGTTTGATGAGGAATCACAGAATCTGTCAGCTGGAATCTACAGATGTCTAACTTCTAATTTGTTTGTTCTATGGGCAAGGTATCAGAGGCTACTGTGGTGTGGGTATGCACTCCACAAGATTCACAGGAAAATTTAATTCCCAGTGAGATGGTGTTAAGAGATGGGCCTTTGGGGCGGTGGTGACACACAACCTTTAATCTCAGCTCTTGGGAGGCAGAGGTAGGTGGATCTCTGAGTTAGAGGCCAGATTGATCTACAGAGGTAGTTCCAGGACAGCCAGAGATACACAGAGAAACCCTGTCTTGAAAAGCAAAAACAACCAACCAACCAACAAATAAAAAACAAAAACGAATAGGGCTCTGGAGATATGATCAAGCAATCATGAGAATGGCCGAAAGGATTGATTGCTTTCTTTCCTTCCTATTCTTTTTTTTTCCATGTGGGCAACCTTCCTCTCCTGCACAGAATGCAGGAGGATGCCATCTTGGCATCTTGGCAGCAGAGACTGCGCTCTCACTAGATACCAATCCCAGTGCCTTCATTTTGGACTTCCCAGCTCTAGAGCTGTGGTAAATACATTTTTATTGTTCCTAAATTAACTATCAGAGGGTGTTGTGCTAAAACAGTCCTAAAGCTCTGTCAGAGGCCAGGAGAACAGAAAAGACTTGCTGTATGCACAGGGCCCATGAGTGGTAGAACCACCATACACTCTGGCTCTACCGATCCCAGATCCTTTGTAGACATTAAGAGCAGGGTTTCTGGATAGCAGGGCTGTTGGTACTTTGGAGCAAGCCCTTCGTGGTGAGGGATGCTCCTGTGCGTTGCTGGATGTCCACCCTGGGCACATATATACCCACCAAAAAACAGATTCATTTTCCCCTACCATCAACAAAGCAATCAAGTATTTTCAGGTGTTAACAAATATCTCTGCAGGTGGTAGAGATGTAAAACTCTCTTCCAGGGAAGGATTACAGAGTTAGGAATCACTGGAGCTAGAAGGAACTTAGAGGGATTGCCCCTACTCTACCCCTAATTTCAAAGAGGATCCATCTGAAATACTCCCAGTGGAATCTTGTTCTAGTCTTCTGATTCCCCATATAGGAGGAAGTTCAATGAACTTGTAGTCGATATCATTCTCCCATGTATATGGATAAGTTATCCTGGCTATAAAGTATGCATCAGGCGAAATTCTCGCTGCAGAAGGAGGCAGGACTCACTTGCTGTCATCCGGTGTCAGACCACGGCAGGCAATGCACATCATCACGCCCCCAATTAGTGTGAGGCCTCCAGCGACCCAGCCCACGAATAGAGCTGCACCAAAGGTGTACCTGAAGAGGGAGATGTCATGAATACAGCTGACTAAACCCTCCCCATTGCTTCCAGCCATCCAGTCCCCTTTGTTCTCCTTTGGTCCCTCCTTCTTTCTCTCCTGATCAATGAGAGAGTCTGCAAGGCTTGACAAGAGAAGTTTAAGAGTGATGGAGACAGCCTCAAGTTGTTTCTGAGGGATTTTTGGTATCTTGAGTTTTCATAGTGGACCTTGTCTTGGGTGACATTATATTGCAACTCTTCCCTAAGGGCCCAGGTATTAAAGACTTGATATCCAAAGTAGTCCTATTAGGAGATGGTAGACTTTTAGGAGTTGTGACCCATGAGGAGCTTTAGATAATTGAGGATGTGCTTTCAAAAGATATGAGACTCCTGGTATTAAAACTGAGAAAGTCCCAGGCAATCAGTAAAGACACTATGGGAGAGACCTGGAACAGAATGTTGACAGCTTATGTGATCACGTTCCTCCTCATTCTTGTAACAAAACCCTGGGTTTCCAGAGTCAGATCATGACAGTTGTACCATCTTGAAATCCTGTCTATATCACTTGTTGGTAACTGGAGAAATACCAGCTCTACTAGGTAGAGTGGATTTATACCACTCTCTGGAAACAAGACTGGTGCAGGAAGTCCTTCTGTATACGTGTTGCTTTTATTGGTTAATGAATAAAGAAACTGCTTTGAACCTATAGCAGGGCAGAATAGAGCTAGGAAGGGAAAACTAAACTGAATGCTGGGAGAAAGGAGGTGGAGTCAAGGAGATACCATGTAGCCCCCAGAGGAGAAAGATGCAAGCTGCTAGTTGGAACCTTGCCGGTAGGCTGCCACAAACCTCATGATAAAATATAAAATAATAGAAATGGATTAACCAAAGATGTAAGAGCTAGCCAGCAAAATGCTTAAGAGATTGACCAAGCAGTGATTTAATTAATACAGTTTCTGTGTTGTTATTTCAGGTCTAATCTGCCAGAACGAACAAGCGACCTCCTTACAACAGAAGACCTTCCTTCTTAGGGGTTTTGCTGGTGCTTATTGCTGAGATACATCAATGTGATACTTGAGCTAAACAAATATGGGTGTTGATAATGCTTTTCCACTAAACTTTCTTTCCCCTCTGGGGATGGAGAGATGGCTCAGTGGTTAAGAGCACTGACTGCTTTTCCAGAGAACCTGGGTTCAATTCTCAGCACCCACATGGCAGCTCAGAACAGTCTGTAACTCCAGTCCCAGGGGCTATGACACCCTCTTCAGGCCTCCTCAAGCATGGCACATATGTTGTATATAGACATACAAGCAGGCAAATACTCATACACACAGAATAGAAAGAAATAAAATATATAAAAAAATGCCCTGCTTCTTTAAGGCATCAAATTATAGTGAGGTTTCACCTCTACCTCCTAGACCTCTCTGAGACAGGAAGCTTGATTTTATCTCTTGCACCCTGGTCTCTGCCTGGGCCACAGCAGGTGCTCAATACAGTCACTGGATGAGATAATGAGGAAAAGGCGACAGCACCGGGAGGAGCCAGCCCTTCTCCTACCCGTACCCGACTCGACTCCTTTCTATTGGGATTTCCCCTGCTCCTGTCATGCTTCCATAATGAACTGTGGGTCTAAGTTGATGCTCATTTACATCTTGGGTTAACCATGCCTGTCGTGTTGCTGCCACAATGGGGCCCATGTAAGAACGCTAGATAAATACTATGAACTGTCACTGTATTTCAGTACAAATGCCGGATCAGCCTCAAGTCATATCAGCAAGGGTATTTCATGGAAATGAAGTTCATGAATTTGCAGATCGTTGTTGAGTTATGATACAGTGTGGTTGTCTCTGATAAATGTTTGCTATTTCAGGCCCTGACAGGCACATTAGGCACATGGTTTAATCGTCCTCTTACAATATTCCCTGTGGATCACCAGGAAGCCAAGTAGGGGGTTACCTTGTCTGAACGGTCTGCACCATCCCACCCATGCCGCTGTACATGTTAGCTGTGGACATCCAGAAGTTGGTAACCAGCATGTTGGCAAACACGGACACACCAATAATTGCACAGATTCCTGTGGGAAAAGAACAAGGACCAGGTTAAGGGGCCACAATATATCTGAGGCAGTTTACGTTGAAATGAGTTCAGATGAAAGGACTTTAAGATACTCTCTATTCCTGTAATAGAATGATCAACCAACCACTGACTGTTGAATTAAACAGTTTTGCCTACTAGACAGTAGGCAAAGTGCATCTCACATTTAATTCTGGAAGGATTCCTATATGTGCAATGCACATAGAAAGAGACGTTTCCACACACCTCGGGATCAAGGGTAAATAAACCAAGCATCTGGGGACTACTCTTTAGTTACTGGCAAGAGTTTCCCCATTAAAACCACTTCCTAGTGGTTTTTAAGGGCCCAGTCACATGTTTGCCTTAGGGTTGACCTTCCTCTATTGCAGTGTTGCTAGTAGCTAAGTGGGACCTTAGAACTGGTTACAGTTCTGTGGAGGGTAATTTTGCTTCCACGCACTCAGACCATGAATCCCAGAGTGAAACACTCTGAGCTATGTTTAACAGTGGGAAGGGGCCACTTTTCTTGTTTCAGAACAATTTATTCTAGCATTTGCAGGTGCATGCTTGAGAGTGGGAGTCTGTGTTTACCTGAGATGATGAACAGGATGCCTGAGGTCAGGGTCATCTTGGCCTTGGCAGAATCATCCATGCTGCCAATCCGAATGCACTTCAGGGCAAAGATGGACACTAGAATACCGATGACGCCCAGAACAATGCCCACGATCATGAGGGCTCGTACTGCTTGCAACATGGCTGTAGAAGAAGGAGCCCAGCACAGGCAGACAAATAACAGCATCAGTTAGGTTTTAGGTTGTTAAAACACAACAATCCCAACTAACCACAAACTGAGGACTGGCAAGACCACAAACTGAGCTTTGACACGGTGTGAAAACATGGAATTGTGGGGAATGCAAAAAGGCATCACTTGTATCCCTCCGAGTGATGAAGGGTGTGCACACAGATGTCCAGAGAAAGGGAGTTATGGACGGTGAGATTGAGAGAACTCTGGGTATTTATTACTTCAAAACTTGATAATCTTGGCCTAGAAAGGGAACACATTTGTCTAAAGTGATCGTCAAATCATTTATTGAGCTGACAGGAAACTCAAGTGAACTGCACAGCATTCTGCTTGTCTTTGCATAGGAATTGAAACCATCATGGACCAGATACAAACCGTAGGGAAAGGCAAGTGGTGGTGGCACATGCCTTTAATCCAAGCACTTGGGAGACAGAGGCAGATGGATCTCTGTGAGTTTGAGGCCAGCCTGGTTTACAGAGTAAGTTCCAGGACAGGTTTCAATGCTACACAGAGAAATCCTGTCTCCAACAAACACACAAACAAACAAACAAACAAACACACACAACAAAAAACCCAAAAAACAACCAAAAACTCAAAAACCAACAAACCAACCAACCAAACAAAAAAAAACCCCATTCCCCCCAAACAAAAAAACCAACAGTCACCCCCAAACCCTAAACTGTAGAGAAACTCAGCACTAAGTCTGGGATGAAGAAATGAAGGTACTGAGACTATACCAAAAGTATTCTGTATTTATCCTTTTTCAAGGACAACTACTAAGGTCATGGGTGGACTGTATGTTTCTGATTATAATGATCAGTATGTTAATATTAAGATTTTCAACAGTTTATCAAGAGCGTTCCCTTTGTAGGAATTGATGTTTCTGTAGGGCCTACTGGGTCTTGCTATGGACCTCACCTCCAGTCATATGTCCAACATAGTTTCTAGTTTATCATTAAAGGCTAAACATCTTAACAGCCACTTACCAAGACACCCACACTGTATGTGGGATGTTAGTAGTGAACACTATGAAATGTCGAGAGACACTCATCAAGTTTGGCCATTGCAAGCATGAAGAATTTTATAAGTCTCCTAGTGCAGGTCAACCGCTGAGCTTTGCACCATATGTACATATGTATCATATGTTTAGTACATAAAAGACATCAGACACCAATTTGTTTTATCCTTCTAACATGGCCCCTTCTATCCATCACACAAATCCTGAAGGAGCTGCCATATCTTATATCAGTACTTAAAAAAAATCTTTTAATTTTAAATACCACAGGTTGATGCTCTGGCAAAATAAGGAAATGCTTGAGTGTCACAGAAATGCCAAATCGCTATAAAAGCTTAGAATTGTTTTTTTCTCATGTAGAAAGCAGAACTGTTTAGATGGAAAACAGTTTGTGGGGCAGACTGATTCGGGGCCCACTTTGAATTATCTACCAACCCAGATCTTTCAGGCTAATAACTTGACTCTTGATCACAATGACCTAATCCAGCATGGGCATGTGATTGGCACCTGGCAAATGAGACCCTCACGTGAGATGTTTATACTTTAGACACAGATCAACCTCTCTCCAAAGGGGTGTGACACATCCAGGGACTTCAGGAATTCTATTGGGTGGAGAAGTTACCACACAATGACCAGAAGGTGTAAGGCAATAGGGAGGTACAGAGTTCTGATAAAGTTTGAGCTGTGGATTCTAGGTACTTAGGAGGGCTAAATACCTTCTTGGGATCTAGGAGTTATTCTGACATCATTAACAAAATAACATATTTTGAGATAATTCATGTTGAAACTGTTAACTGAAATCAGGTGACTATAAATTATGCAAGATGTTTTCATTAGTGTTTTTCTTTAAAGCCTTATTGTTGATGAACAGTTGACAAAGCACAACCAAGACAATGTTGAAGGTCCTTGCTGATGGGAGCGGCCTCTCATGTGAAGTCACAGCCACAGGCACCGCATCCCACACTGCAGTGACAGAGGACAGATAGAAAGATCATTTTCCTCTTGTTTGAATCCACTGAAATGATCTCCTAATTATATAAGCAGTAAATGATCTTTATAAATATTTCCGAGCTTGTAGGCACCTCCCAAAGACTCTTTATTTCACTTCTTGGGGGATAACTAACAGCAGTATCTTGGTGAGTAGTTTTTATGGGAAGTTTTTCCTTTTATAGAAGATTAATAAAGCCCCACTGAGGGTTACACTACTGTTTAGACCCAAGGCACCGAATCAGGAGCCAGCCAGAGATGCAGTTTTACAGGCCCTATAACGTTCTAATGATGAGGGACTTACCTGAAAGACATGTCATTCTTAGTGTCAGTGACCCAGTTAATAATGTCCAGGTGAAATCCAAATTTGAGAATAGAAAAGAAATGCTTCCTGGTAGCCTTCTGGCCACACCTCTTTGTTGGTTGAGATGAGATTTCCCAGACTCTAACTCAACACTACAAACCTTCATCTACTTTGTTCCGTTTCCCATCTCCCTCAGGACCTTGAGATTGAGTCTTAACTTTGCTTTTCTGCTGGAAGGAGTGTTCCATAAGCCACCATCACTAGCTGTGGTTTCACTAGCAGGTGCATTCTCAACATAGGTTTGTGTGAGCCGTCAGTTGATCATTCTTGGAAAAACTAATAAATCTGGCATCTTGCAATGACAATTGAGTTCTGTGCTACTGTATTGGTGACTCCAGTAAGACCCAGAGAACACATGAGCATTGGAGGGGCACTAGGACCTATCTGCTCCTCAAATGTGATGGCTCTACTGCTCTACCTGTGTTCCAGAGCCGTGTCCAGTGGCTTTGCTGGCCCTGCAATGTGCTGGGAGCAAATACTTTGTTAATTTCCTTATTAAAAATGCAAATGAATGCCATCTATTTGTGTATTCATTTCTGTCTTTGTGTTTTTAGAGGCAGTACACACTGAATTATTGTAGCCGTGAATTAGTAATGCTTTTATATTCTACTCCATGGATTTTTTTTTCATTTATCATGTTTTAGGAATTTTTTTAATTTTATTTTGGTTAGAGCTTCATTGTGTATCCAAGGATAGCCCTGAACTCACTATGTAGCCAAGGTTGGCCTTGAATTCCCAGCAATCCTTCTGTCTCAGCCTGCCAAGTACTGGGATTGCAGGTGTACACCGCCAGGCTTGACTTCCATCATGTAGTTAGAGCTCAAACCCTCTGCAAAACTTTTCCCCACCCCCGATATTGTAGAGAAATAAACTTAAGAGAAATAATCTGTCTTGAAGGCTTTTGCATTCTGAGATTACATATTTCTGCAGTCCTGAGCTTTTATTTCTTCTTACCTTGGGAATATTCTAGCTGAGTAAATGCCAAAAAACTTTGTGGCAGTAGCACATGGCATAGGATAAGTTGTCACACACACACACACACACACACACACACACACACACACACACACACAGCTAAATTATGCAGTGATTCCATGGTTCAGAACTGTGATTCAGAGGACATTTTTGAGATAGTCCACACCCTCTGGAAATAAATATCCTCAGGACTGTTCTGGTTTTAGACGTTACTATCAGGAAACTGGATGTTTGAGAAAAAGAGCAATCATAAACATCCCTCTGTCTTGTTCCTATAGTTCTCTTAGACGTTTTTATTCTACCCAGGAGTCTACTAAAGGTTTTAAAAAATGCTCTAATTTTGATCTTTAAAATCCTAAGCTATTAAAACATAATTTATCCAATTTGAGAAACACTTGACAAGGCATCTGGTTAAGAGAAAGCAACCAAACTCAAGTGAGCACTAACGGACTGATCAAATAACCATAGAGGATGAAGATCCCTTCTTCATTCTCTGGATGTTACATTTTTTTCCACCCTCGGCAAGTGTGAAGTCCTTGACTCCATCGAGTGGCTTTAATAATCTATTTCTGAAAACATATCCCCATGTATAGTGAGTTAGGGGGCTTCTCTGACATCATTGGATGAGAAGCGAAGTGGGGAGCTGTCAGATGGAAGGCAAAAATGCAATGAGGCGTGCTGCTGGCATGCCCCAGCATCCCTTGGTGGGTGAAGCCTGGACATTCTGTCACATCAGCTTCTGTGCCAGGTTCTTGGATGCTTCTTTCTTGCTTGCTTCTTCTTGACCTGTAGACTTGCGATGAAGGCAAGATCTACTCTGAACCAGGGTTCTAGCATGGCCCTGAGCTCCTGCTTAGGTTTCAGAGCCTCTTACATACTTCTACCCCCTCTTTTCTATGAAGTTAGAAAGAATGCATCATTGATTTGTAACTTGGGATCCAGGAACAGGCTATGTGGAGGGACCAAGGTATTCTCTGGTTGGAAACCCCCTTGAGATTCTTTTGGGAAGGGAAACTGTGATGGAGGCAGGTGCTAGGGAGTGGGTGCACAAGCGCGGCACCATCCATAATGATCTTGGAGACTCAGGAAGGTGATCTGAGCTTCCCTTTCAACCTGAAGTCTACTATTTGGAATTCAAACTTTTCTCCATAGACAGGTAAACAGGACAATTATCTGGAACCACAGGTTTCTCTTTTTGCCACTGACTCTCTTATTTGATGTTTTGATCAAGCTACATAGGCTTTATCAAGAGCTAACATGTGAGTCAGCAGGCTCTGTGGTCTGACATCCCCCCCCCCCAACCAAAGGTGAGACAGGAGCATTATTTCCAGTGAATAATTAGCCATATCAGTCAGAAGGGAGGCCAAGACTCAGGGCTGATAAAAACAAACAGAAAGGTTGGAACTCAGCATTCCCTCCCTGTTGCAAAATATCCCATTCAGTAAAGTAGATGTGGACTGATGGGTGAAGGGTACCAAGGTGTTGGTCTCAATCATGGTTGCCTGAGCATGCTTGGGAACCTTTAGAAAAGTGACAATGATGTGGCCTCATTTCGAGCCTTTCGTCCAGTTGTTAGATAATGTAAGATTTTGAGGGCAAAGTGTGAAGATGAT